GAACAAGAAGTTAAAGTGTTGTTGGCTATTGGTCTCCGCAAGTCTATTCAGTTGTCTCATTCGTAATCAGAGGACATTTTTAGGAATTGATCCGATTTAAATATATATTGAACAAAAAGTTAAAGTGTTGTTGGCTATTGGTCTCCGCAAGTCTCTACCCAGTTGTCTCATCCGTAAACAGAGGACAGTTTTAGGAATTGATCCGATTCAAATATGTATTGAACAAGAAGTTAGAGTGTTGTTGGCTATTGGTCTCCGCCAGTCTACCCAGTTATCTCATTCGTAATCAGAGGACATTTTTAGGAATTGATCCGATTCAAATATGTATTGAACAAGAAGTTAGAGTGTTGTTGGCTATTGGTCTCCCCACAGATGAAGCGAATTGCTTTCGGTCATGTCTGCCCAGTTGTTCCATCCGTATTCAGAGGACATGTGCGCGTATAAATATGGCTTATGATAGTACACAATAGATCCCACACAATCCACAACCACCAGCCACTGCTACTGTGAGTGCTACCCTTCCCGAAGCGTGTGGCTCAACACACAACACATCGCATCTATCAGTACATACGAGCCATGAGTGCCTGGATTTAAACTGTAAATCACACAAACCACACAACCACCAGCCACTGCTACTGTGAGTGCTACCCTTCCCGTAGCGTGTGGCTCAACACACAACACATCGCATCTATCAGTACATGAGCCACGAGTGCCTGGTTTAAATTGTAGATCACACAAACCACACAACCACCAGCCACTGCTACTGTGAGAGCTTTATTTCCCGTACCGTGTGGCCAAACTTACAGTATATCGTATCTATCACAAAGTTTTCCAAAGCGATCTGCGCCACGTGACCGGTTGATACATCCACATCAGCCAACGCCTTAACAACATCATCTCGCCCACTCACTCCTTCAAGCCCTGCCGCAGCAGGCACATCTCGCGCAACAGGTGTGTGACCGCACATACCTGTTAACATACTGGTCCCACGTTCCGTTGACAGAGTATCTGCCACACTACTGGCCTGTGTAGGTCGCCCCGTGTCCTGGGTCACTCCCGTTTGCCTACCTACAGCACCCCCGCGTTGTGCCATCCTGGCATCAGCCGCTACTGCACCCATATCTCTCTCCGGGTGCTCCCCTGTGTCACCTTTAAATGTACTGGGACTGGGGCTAGCGCTAGCCCACCAGCAGACACTGGCATGGAAGGACGGGTTCTGGTAGTACACGTCCTTAATAAACAGGCGCATCACCGTGTCTACACAGGGGAGAACATGCTGCCGTATGTAGTCGTGGCACTCGTCTGCCACACAGAGGGCGAGAAAGGACCTGCAGATAGAGAGATAGGACATGTGCATTGAGATGCATGCCAACAACAGAAGTGTGTGAATGTGGGTGTGTGCGGTAAATTTGTGCGGAGGTCCTGCCTGAGATGATACACGCTGTAGTGCAAACGTATACGACGATGACATGTATAAACACGTCGGCCCTAGCTAATATTCACCTGCTCTAGTAAGCGTTCTAGTAAACGATCATTTGCTCTAGTAAACGTTCTCGTAAACGCTCATCTGCTCTAGGAAACGATCTCGTAAACGTTCGTCTGCTCTAGTAAACGATCTCGTAAACGTTCATCTGCTCCTCAATGGCAAACCACGAGATAGAACTTAGTGGAAGACATACGTAATGCGGAGATCAGTCTACACACACGGCGGTAAGAAAACGTACACTTATCACCTACAGTTGACATCACCCATAGGTGACATCACTTATAGTTCCGGTGTCATAGCCTGCCTCGTTCAGAGGGCTATATCTGAGTGACTAGAACAATGCGCTGAGCTCAGGCGACACACACCACAGTAAAGAAATGTGCATGGACATCACTTGCTGTCAGGACGCGTCACGTCATGTACTTTCCGAGTCATAGCCTGTCTCATACAAGAGGCTATATCCGAGAGATCATCATATCATGGGTCAAACTATTATATACCGATGATGCAAACTGTCGCAGGTCTCTCGGGTGCAGGGACCAACACCAGATTGAGCAACCCAGCCTGATAGCTTAATCCAAGCTATTAGCTAAGCATAACCAATCTAGACCACTTGTGCTACAGTGTGTACTCCATACCACCGGATGCCCAGAGTACATGAGGAGCTTCGATATAGACAAAGAAAAACTTATGCGACAATACGCGACATACCACCGTATCCCCAAAGCATTTGTGAAACGCTTTCCCCCAGACATGTACGTATATATATATATATGGATAGCATGTATAGCTAGTGCACCGCCATCCTAGTTTCAAATGCCACAGCAAAAGAGTTATACCTGTACTCCACCTGTCCTTGGACGTAGTCACCTGGCCATGCAGATACCTACTATATACATACAAACCGGCATATACAAGTTCGAATCGAAACATCAGTCCGTACAAAACATCCCGAACATAGATGCCTACTTCATACATAGCAGCCGGAGATACCTACTAGTTACATAACAGCACATATCCACGAATAACTTAGTCCAACACTCAGTCTACCTGTGCTCATTCTCGTTGGTGAAATGACGCAAGCCTTGCAACGAGAGGGTGAATGCGTGGACGCTCCTCAGTTTCTCGGCTAGGGCTGCGTAGAAGGCGTCGATTTCGTGATGTTGCAACGCCACCGTCTTTGACAGGGACACATGCAGTACTCTATTCTCTTCAGACACAAACGAATGCACTGGCTGCTGGAGAGAAGTATGAGAAATGGGGTTAGTTTCCATCAAAATATATATACAAAATAATATCACATATATATATATATATATATATATATATATATATATATATATATATATATATATATATATATATATATATATATATATATATATATATATATATATATATATATATATATATATATATATATATATA